TCCGTCCATCTCGCCCTGGCTGTCCTGGTGGTCCTACTACCACTGGTGCTGATGGGCAAGCCTGAAAATAGAATCTTACATGTCTGCTATTCAACATTAAATACAAAATTTTTCACGTAATCTATTAGGGAACTTGCCTCGATTAGGGAAACTGCGCAGATGAGCAATATAAAAACACAGGATAGATGCATTATACTGAAAATCTGAAAATTTTCGATTTGTTTTTAAATATTCAGTTTTCTCTTTTAGATATTTAAGCTTTTTTAACAGATGATCTGCCAATAGAAATTTTACACGATTGGAATCACCTCCTTTATTTTTGCTCCACAGTAGCTTAAGGCAAATAATTGTACCCGAATTTATACATTTTATTTATATCAATGATAACATTGGAAAAGTGAGAATAAATTTTATAAGCTAAATAAATTGAAATGAGCGAATTTCGAGGAGAAATTTTCTATTTATATTAGGGAATAGTATATCTGATATGAATCTTTCCAGAATTTATAAAACAAAGAAGCATTTCAAAAATTCTTTGTGGAATGCACGAAATGCAACAAAATGAAACATTTGAGCAATTATTGACAGTATCTATGAAAGTCAGACGGACCTTTTTAAGTGAACTTGAAGTGAACGGAAAAAGATTTCATCAGCGGTTGATGGAGGAGCATGAAAAAGGACATTGCGCTTGGCTTTTGCATCTATGTTGGTCAAATTCTTACCGCTGAAACTTTAGATGAAATATTCATTCGATAAAATTCTACGAGTCATTTGTCGATGAATCCATAAAAATTGCTAACAAAACATTGATACTAGCAACCTGAAATTGTTTCTATGTATAATGGCAAAAAAATTCAAATTTCAAAATAAAAATATTCATTTTAAATTGGAATTTTAGGCTTCCTTGAAATTGATTCACCTGAAAACTTTTTATAGCTCTGTGATATCACAATCTCTCTCTCCCTTCTCTCTCTCCCTTCTCTCTTTCTCTCGTTCTCTCTCTTTCATTGCGTTTATGTATAAATCACTAATTAATTTCGGTGGCGCACAATTCAAACGATTTTTGTGTGAATAAAAAAGGAAAAGATAGCTAAGAAAATAGAAATGAACAAAAGAATCCATCAGTCAGAAATGAACAAAGAATCATTATTAGGAAGTCTTTATATATTAATACAGAATTGTCAAATGTAATATTACAATAATATAATATAATTACGATATTGCAATTAATCCTCCAAAAAGAATGTCATATAATATTACTATAATATAATAATATAATTATGATATTACGATTAATCTTCCAGAAAGGAAAAAAAAAACAATCTTTGTCTGTGGAACAAATCTATTCAATCGAAAAAAATATTCATGACAATTTTTTGGAACAACAAGCAGGAATCAAATCGGCGACCTTTAGATTACATAAATATTATAAAGTTATTTCGGTTTTCTGCCATTTTTTTCGTTTCGGTTGAAAGTTACAAAAAAGAAATTCGTACTTCGTTAAATAAAACCAAAAATTTTTTTTCTTCATTTATCCATTAATTCTTTTTTAATTTCAAACCATTGAAATGATTTACAATTTTGAAATAATTTAAATTAATCGCGATTTCCCTTTCAAAGTTGTAAAATTTCCTCTATTTATTGCATTTGGAAGCGAAGCGATTAAATCATTACAGTGTTTGACATACGCTGTCTACAAAATCTGTGGACAGCGTAGGATCGGTTACGTTGAAAATAGGAAACGTAAAATAACGATACTCTGAAGGAAGTTCAATTAACTCTTTCAATCACTGCAATGTTGGAAAACAAAAATTATAGCAATAGCAAATAATTTTTATCTGTAAAAAAAAAGAGAATATTTTAATTTGCTATGCGCAGAAATTAAAGAACTGATAAAGTCAAATACATTTCTTTTTTTCATTGAAATATAAAGAAAAGATGTAAATTTAAAATGATTAAGAAATTCGAAATAGGAAAATTCATAACTAAAGAATCAAATAATCAAATTCACTTGAATGAATACATTCACGTTCGCTGTGCAAATATTTGAAATCACATACCCATTAATTCCGAATAAGCTAATTCTACGAATGCATCATATTTGTTTCCTTGCTCGGCTAATACGTTTTCAGTTGGTGTGAAGCGTGCATTCTTCATTTTTAATTTTTTTCAGTCGGTAATAGTTCGGTTGTAGTTGGTGTTTTCACGTCTGAATCAATAGGACAGATCCATGGAATACTCATTAATCGTCTCCTTAACTTCTGCTATAAGCTTATATTAGCATCTCATTTTAGCATTTACCTTACTCAGTTTGTATCTCGTTTGATATTTTGAATTATGTCTTATTGGTAAAGTCATTTCACACATTCCATTATATACAAATTATTGGGACGCGAACATTTCGAAAATTCATTTTGCTAATTTTTAGAAATCTTTAGGCTTTTTTCGGGCGATAATATTTCGTTTTTTCGGAGTGTGGTAATTTGCTAATGTATGTATGTCAGATTAATGGATATTGATTACGATTTAGAAGCATTTTTTGCTGAAGATGATGAAAAAGAGCGCGAGGAGACGAACAAAAATGGTCAGTTGTTCATTACATATTTGTTTTTTTCCTTCTTTACTAATTTTACGTCAACAAAGTAAAATATTATTATTATTTTAAGAACAAATGAATGCTTCAGTATGATTAAAGCTTTTAAGGATTAGTTTGTAAAAAGTAAATAACAAGCATTTCATAGTTTCTTCTTTCAGCAACACTTTCGGATGAACAAATTTTGAACGATCTGTTGAAGAAAGATGAACGAAAGATTCGTAAACAACGTCTTGTAAAGAATCCTAAATTACGAGATATTGAACTTTGTGGATCAAATGGTTTCCTCGAATTGAAGCGAATCTTCGACAGTTATACACCGAAGAATAAAAATCCAGTTAGTCATTGTTCTTCTCATCTTGCAGTAATTTTCCACGTAATCTTCTCATCCTGTAGTTATTTTCCACATAATTTTATGAGTCATTTGCCGAACATCCATGAAAGGCTCAGTCATCATTCAAAAAATTAAGCAGCTTACTTGAAATCAGTTTATTATTAACTCATAATAAGTAAATTCTTGCCTTATTAACAAGGTTGGAAATGATCTCTCTATTTTTTGAATTCATTAATGTGTTGTTAAATTACTAGTAGTGTGCAGTTTAGTTTTTCACATGAGTGTTTTATGTTAGCTGGTATTATACTTGGCAGTGCTGATTTTTGCATTTCATCTCACTGTTTAGAAATGGTGAATTTTTAATTTAATTGAGTATCAGAAGTGTCAAGCAGAAGCAAAGTGGTTTTTGAAATTTTAGTTTTATTTTCCTTCTTTTCAGTATGATGATTTACTTGTAATGATGAGCCGAATAGAACATTGGGGACATCTACTTTGTCCTAAAATGACATTTCAAGATTTCGTAGCTCGTCTGGAATCCTTAGGCGAAAAGAGAATGGTAAAAGTGAGTTATTAATTTCTTGCAAGAAAATTCAGTGTGGTTTTCTTGAGTTATCTTTCTATTTACAGTTGTTAAGATTTGTTTCGAAGAACTTTTTCTAATTTTCAACTGTTCGAAAGAAAAATTGTGATGTATCGTGATTTATAAAAAGATCACGGGAGTGGATTGATTTTTCATCTCTTATCAATGTTATTTATTTTAGACAATGTTGACAAAAATGCGACTTGACATGCCTTTGACCGATGATGACTTCCTCGCAAATAAAGAAAATGAAAAGGAACTACAATTAGTTGATAAAGAGGAAAATGAACAGTTCACTAATGTGTTGACGAATGACATGAATTTGTTCGAATTTTTCGATGATTTACCGTCTGAACCTGTTACATCGCATCAAGCAACTTCATCTTCTGAATTCTCAGTATGTGAGAGATTTCCTTCGCGTATTTTTAAATTTAGAATTTAATTTACGATATGAGAGGAATTACCATGATGCTGTACATATTTGCGTATATCTGTTTCAAGGCTTCGAAATTATCATTGGAGCAATTACAAAGAATTGAAGAAAATAAGCGTCGTGCGCAAGAACTCTGTATGCAACGTAAGAAACGGATGAACCAATTGAATGCTTTCGATTCACTTGCAAAGGATGATGGTACACCAGTTTGTATGAAGGTAGCAAGCGACATACCGTTCAGCTCAAAATCGTTTATTCAGAATGAGGATCCAAAGAAGCTGGAAAACGATATTATGATGGATGATGACGAGGCATTAGATTTCATATTCTCTACAACTTGATACTTTCTTGGTTCTCCTAATCTTGCAATATGACGTTACAAATTTTGGCTTATTTTCTAATCGTTTTCAAGCTGAAATGGAAGCGTGGCATAGAAATATTCATTACATGATTAAACTTGCTGCACTTGATGATCAAAAGTTGAACATATTTAATTTAAGTTTTCTGCTAGATTATTTACCTTCTCATTAGTATGTTGTACAGCGAAGATCAGTTATCATTTCTCCATTTTCGATAGACTTAAATCTTAAATTTTCATGAATTAAAAGAATTTTTTAATTTTTTTGATCATTTTTGTACTTCTTTTGAAGTAATTTTCATTTTTTTTTTTGATATCTGTTAATTGTACATGTCAAACAATCAAATGAAATACAACAACAGGAGAGTCATTTTTTATTTTTCAATTTTCATTTTAATAAACGAGTTAGTCGCTAAAATAAGTATTCTAATTTCGATGAATTTAAATTCTATTCGACAAAAAAATTCAAGAAGGAAATATTACGTATTTTAGAAAAAGTGACAATAAACATGCATTATGACATATTCAAAATATACCCAATAATGAGCAAATTACAAATAAGAATTATAGAACGATTTTAAATTTATTATAGAGGAGTGAGAGGAAACATCAGCAAACATACGTCACATATGTTGGTTTCGGCTGTACCAACTGTGCAAAAAACTCCGGCCCTTCGCAGCGAGCAGGGTTCGAACCTGCGCGGGCAAAGCCCATTGGATTTCAAGTCCAACTCCTTAACCACTCGGACATCGCTGCATGCGATTCATCTCTGATAAGTCCTGTAGCAACAGTTTTTAAAACCATTCGTATCTATAAATATTTTCAGCACTCGCTATTTCAATCTCGGTGAATTTCACCGTTTCACAAAAAAGTATCATACCACAGTTTATTTGAAATTTTGAAAAAAGGTCCACGTACGCAGCGAGCAGGGTTCGAACCTGCGCGGGCAAAGCCCATTGGATTTCAAGTCCAACTCCTTAACCACTCGGACATCGCTGCACCAAAATTCCGTACTTAAATCAGTACAATTCGCTCCATACAATGATCCAAAAGTATTATTAGATTATCAGGGTTATGTAATTTACCCAGAATGAGTCAATCGGGCAAATTATCAAGTTCATGAAATAATTTCAGGCTAAATTTGTGAAGCTACTACTCTAGGTTGAATCCACAAAGCTATTCTAGGTTAGTCTAGTGAAACCATTCCAGTTAGCCTATTAAGGACAAATTTATCATGATAAATTTCTCGTCATGATATTCATTAACTTGGCTTGAAGGATACAAAAGATAATAACTGCAAATATCTTGGAATCAATAATATGACTTTTATTCGTGCAAAAATCTTTGATTGTCATTTTTATACCAATTTTACAAATATTTCTCACAGCTCTTTTTTTTGTTGAAATTTTAAGAACTTTTCGAAGTTTCTTTTTTTTTAAAATTTCCATTATTTGATCGATCCGAACAATAGTGATATTATCACGAAGATCCTAATTTTGGCATGTGATATCTTTTAAAATCTAAACTGATAATTGACTATTGCTAAGTGATACCAAAGTAATAATCTTAAATGTATAAGAAGATTACTGCTTTGGTATCATTGTATAAAGTATTATAAATCCTGTCGGCTTGAGACTTATTTCCACCTCTTCATCATTACTCATATATTTGCTATTTCATTCTTTTTTTTAATGTCATTGAATTATTTTGAAACTGTTTAATTAAAATAGAAACTCCGTTCATTCAATAATTATTGAAAAGCTCTCAGCTGAGCCTTTTTTAAATTATTCTTATCGACTTGGATTTTCTTAAAATAATGCGGAAGCAATTTTTAAGTATACAATTCTTAAAATACCATTTGAGCTTTTTCTTTTGAAATCACAAAAAACATAATGGAGCATTAAATAGAAAATTATTAGTCATGCCGCATAAATTTGAATAAAACCCTAAATTTTTCCAACGTTCAGTTTTTACAGAATTACTATCATATTTAAAATGACAGCAGATAGGTTAACACTTTTTTATACTGCTCTTCGTAATTTTAAATAGCCGTAATGTTTCAAATATTTTAATGCTTGTAAAATTGCTCATGTTTTTGAATATAAAATTTTCACTTATGATGGCAGGTATTCCTTTTTACACAATTTCCTTTTTGTGATTTATTTGGGAATTGTGCGATCAAATGATGCAAATTATGATAGAATATATTGCCCACAGGGGCTCCATCTATTTCAATATATTCATATCGACAATGAACAAATCATTTCCACAAATTACAATATTTCACAATTTAAAAGTAATTAATTGGATGTTATTTGTCCCATACACTATTCTTAGGTTTGTCCGAAAAATGTTTTTTACTTGTCATTTTCACCTGTTAGCTTTCATCCCAATATTTTAATATATAATTTAAATTGATAGTTTTTGTTATGAAGGAGAAATTCAGCATTTTTAATATAATAATTCATACACACATACACACACACACACACACACACATACATACATATATACATACACACACAAGGTATGCGTTGAAATTAAGCTAATTTAAAAAATAGATAAGTATACTTGTAGATAGTAAAAAGCTCAGTAAATGAGACGATTTTAGAATTTTATGCTTAAAATTATTCCCTTCTTTGCTAGCAGTATTCATCCCTTCAGCAATATTCTATTTATCATTTCATTTATTTTCCTTGTCATCTCAATTACATTATTTGTCGCTAAATGATTTCGCGTCCCAATGCGTATTCCTTTTCCGCATTTATTCAATAATTAGGAGTGTTAATTCTCTTATTTTGAAAAATGGATCTGACGAATCTTGACGGATTATCTATTTTTTTTCACAAATACGTCTTCTGAGTTTCGATGATACCAATAATAATGTAATATAATCGCTTGATTGTTAATTTGACGGCATCCAATAAATTAGCGGTTTTCGACTCATAAGTCGTTCATTCAATGGTATTATAAAGTTATTACAATTATATATACAAACCAGGATCAAAGCGGGTTCTTCTCTTTCAAAGTACGATATTTCTGAAAATGCAAATCCAAAGCTAATCAAAATTTTGGCTCTTTTTTGAACAATCGAAGATTTGTCAACTGAAATGTTGCTATTTCATCAAACGTTCCGCTAAAACCGATCCCGCATTTTTCAAAAATCCGTAAACCTCACCCGCCATCGATATCATCAACCAAGAGAGGATGGAAGCTATACCATTAGTACCACAACAACCAGTAATCGTAACCAAACCTATAGGACATTTACAACCGTTGGAACGTATACCGTAACTGCTATTGTTATATAATCTAACACAGCTCGCAAATTTTCAAATACCCGTCAATATTATATTGAAGTAAAAAATAAAGTTAAGCAAGAATTAACTAACAAACACTTTCGTTTAAGCATAAAGGAGAAAACAATCAGCAGAATAATCAAATTGAAAAAGCCGATGTTATGCTGGCCTAACTTTTTGAATTATTGTTCAAGTAGAGTGCGATGTATGATGCGATAATAAATTATAGGACATTACAAACGCTGGAAGCAGTGATCAGTTTATGTTTTAAAACTTGACAAAACAAATGAGGCGATATATCGCAAACGCTTAACTATTCAATCTTTTGCACGTTTGATGACCCTACAGTAACATTAATTTTTCTTTTTCTTCCATATATCTTCCTTTTCCTTTTTCTGTATTTCAAAGTTTTAAATTATATCTCAATTTTCAACATATTAAACAAGCATTTGATGCTAGCCTTAAAAAATTATTGAAATTTACAAAATTTGTTAATCTATCAAAGTTACCTTATACACGTAGAATATAGTTAACTCTAATAATCTCCACATAACTGAGAAGCAGGACCCGTTTCAAAACCATGTATCACAAAATATTAGAACATTGCATTTCAAATTTAATTGGTTTCTCTGTTACAGGATGCTCCCGAAATGAGACTTCTACCCTTACTTTCTTCTGTTCATCGCTATCGCAAACTACTGCGCTTGATTCATCTCGAAAATTAGGTGCAGAATCCGCAGACGTCAACAAACATCTATTAGACCTTAAACATTTAAAATGAAATTATCCGAACTTAAAACACCATTTCAGTTAAAAGTCACATAATAGTGAATGATAGATTGTATGCAGTGCTAAGGTTATTTTGATATCATGAAGTGTTGACGCGAAATATTTTTGCTTTTGAATCTCAAATGACGGGAAGACATTTATAAAAAAAAAAAAAACATTACGAATTGAATTTTTAAGTTTAAATTCATCAAATGGAAATCATTACCTGTTAAGCCTTATGTGACTTTTAACAAGATCGTTTGAGCATTGCGCTGCCATAAGCGATAATTCACCTGCCAGTACTGTCGAACAAGTTATTTCCGCCAAACGTGTAGCACATTCACCTGGGACTGACGTTGGTATCCCACAACCCATTATCTTAACAACATGCATTCTTACTTGAACACATGAATGCAAACATTACACTTCTGGGATTTTTAAATCTCTCATTTCAGAATCTCAGAAAAAATACTCTGAAGTCATTAAATTGAATAATTCAAATTTGTGGAAATTTTCAAAAAACCTGTAAGCATGCATTCTGAGCTGGTAATATTGTACCACCACCAACAGTTCCAACTTCAAGGCAACGCATGTTGCACGAAATATACAAATCACCAAATTCAGTTTTTTCCATTGTAGTTAAACACATACTACTGGACACAACCTGAGCAACATCCTGTAATACCAAAATGTTGATTAGAAAGATTTCTCAGCAATAAAAATCTCTTTGAAATGTAATAGGAAGAAAAGTTAAAAACTCTGAATCTATCTATAAGCCGAACTTGTCCAGTTGCAATAAATATGGCTGCAACAACATTAGCTGCATGCGCATTCCATCCGCCAACAGTACCAGCCATAGAAGAACCAATCAACAGCTTCGCTTGTCCCAATTGTACCAATGCATCAACAGTAGTTTTAAGTACTGTTTGTACCACTGTAGCTGGAATCGTTACCTCAGCAACCACCGATTTTCCACGTCCTTTAATCCTGAAAAATCCACGAATCGTTAGCTAAACTGTAGCCGAAAGAAAAAATATAACAAAGAAACTTATCGAAGACTAAAGACCTGAGATAGATATGACATGCAAAAAGATTAACCAATTAATTGCACTAGCTTTCTTGTCCACACAGTAATTACCAGATACCGATAATACTTCCATTTCGGGATATTTCTCTTTTAGATATGATAATACTGCATTTGCACCCCTATAACATTAAACATGTAATATTTGGAGGCAATATAGTTACAGTCAAATTAGCAATACCTGATAAGACATGTTTAGAAGCACTGCACAGTAAAATTATTGAAATGGAATGATTACCGACGCACGGATCAAATAGCACAAAAATAATGAAGAAAAATCCCATTAGTGCAAATTTAGGAGGTGAATTAAGTAAAGAAAATAAATTATAATTACCATTTTTTGGTATATAAAAAAGAAAGACATATAAAGTTGAAAAAAAATTACTTTGAAACCATATTCATTCCCATTGCATCACCTGTTTCAGCTTCAAATCTCATAAATAGCAAACGACCAGCCACGTCTGTCTCAAGCCGTTGTAATCTCGCAAAACTGCAAAACAATAAAAAATTCTGTCGCAAGTCTCCGAAATAGATAAACTGCAGCTTTAATTTTCCAGTGAAATATGAGTGATGTATGTTTGATAAGTCATACATTTGAATGTCAAACATCAAACATTTATCGAATTTAATATACCACTCGAACAAGCCTTAGATATAATAGTTTAGACGATACCTGCTTGTCGAATCAAAAACAGTTTTGATTTTTTCGAAGCCACTTGGTGAATCTAGTAAATCCTTCATCTCACTAAAAGGATATGTTTAAGCAACTAATAAAGAACTAAGCTTTAATTTAAATAATTTAAATGTAAAAGACAAGCTCTTCTACTCCGAAATCTTCTAGTATGAATCCTAAACTGAAATAATTGCTGAGTCGCGAAGTAAAACGGAAACAAAAAAGTGCTATGAAAAGAAGACTGATCACTAATTTTTGTAGTCACTAAAATCACCAAGATCTCATGAACTTACAGCGTTTTAATGACATTTGCAAACTGAACCACAGGAGCACGCGTCATTCCATTTTTATAGACACGAGCTGTGACACCGCCAGACTCCTATAATAAATCATTCGTTTCATACGAAGTTAATTTAAAAACATACAACATAAATATTCTAATATTTTTAGAACTTTTTTAATTGATTAACTTACAAAAACTGCACGACAACCGCGGTTGGTACTAGCGATAAGAGCACCTTCTGTTGTAGACATAGGCACAAAACATTTACGATCGTTCACCAGTAATGGTCCAACAATTCCCGTCGGTACTGGAACATAACCAATGACATTTTCGCAGCATGATCCATTCACCTGCAACACAATAATTTAATTGAATATTTCAAAAAATAAATGGAAGAATAAATCACAAATTACATGTACTGATAACAACAAAAGAATACTTACGTAACTGTAGTCATACTGTTGGAATGGTAGATTGTGGAATGATATATTTGCGGTCTCACAAAAATGTGACCTCCGCAGTGAAACCGCACGGAGAAAGTCATTGCCTAATTTTTGTTCAAGGTCTCGTTGCTTTAAATGTCCAAAATTCAACAGTTGAATTATTTCTCTATAAAAAAAAGAAAATCTTCTTCTCCAAACAACTAATTTGACCTTTTTTAGAATTGAACAAACACAATCCCTTGCAAAAGCAGCGACTTTGTTTGATTTTCCAAATTTCCAGAAATCAGAAGAAAATATTTTGTGGCACACCTGTCATTTAATAATGCATAATTATCCGTCATTTTACCCAACTTCAAATTTCGAATCAACGTTGATATCGTCTCATTACTTGTTTTTCTTTCATTATCATCTTTCAAATCCCTTGAAATCGTTAATTTGCTTCTTGAATTACTACTTTTCAACACTGTCGTTTGTCTATCTATATCTAAAATGAAAAAAAATTATTACTTAAGACAACATGTTATTTGCAGGAATTAACTTCAAAAAGAGTAATATTTAATTACTTGATCTGTCGCATATACGAATAACTCTTACACATTCAGTTCTATCAAAATTAACATTTTTGTTGCATTAAGAGGAGCAGTTGATTCTCTTAATTCACATCATTTCATCATTTTGAAAATGATCGAATATACCTTCTTCCGCAATAGGTGCTTTTAGTGGTTCAACTGCGAAAATTGTTTTGCACGGAAGACTTCCGCACTTGAAATTTTCGCCTATCTTGAATATGATATCATCGAACAACTCGGTTCTCCATTGATCATCCTCATCAACGATTACATCATTTATCCTTTCCGAAAGCCATACCGCGAAATTTTCTTTCCATTTCGCGAATTCTGCCATTCTATACCCTGAAAGCGAAATCGCTTTTACTTTTTAAGCTCCTTTTGATTTTAATGCCATACGAAAGGAAGGAAATGAATTGTAACTACAGAAAAAGAAAACAAATAAGGGATCGAAACAAATAACATATATGTTAAGCAATACGCTAAAGCATTCTAACACCATAAATAAAAGAGAATGGACTTTCTGTCATCTGAAAAAAACTAACACATACAAAATACTATAAAAAAAAAACCTTTGTTTTTTAGCATATTATTATTAGGGAAAGATTAATCCAGAAAAAAATTAGCATTTTTTTAGATGCTAGCAAGAAACGAGTCATATATAATGACCAGATAATATAGATCAATTACATTAAAAAGAAGAAAACAGCACTGATATGAGATACGATATATTACTGATATGACATCAAAAAGAAGATTCCTCTAAATCGACAAAATGTTCCAAGTAATTTTCTGATTTGCTGGCATATCATAACGATATTGGTCGGAAAGCGAAACTTCCACGGTTGTCAGTTAGAATCGGCAGAGACGATCGAAGAGCTGTGTAGCAATAGGAATCTAAATTAATGAAATAGCATTTCTGATAAATAATTAACTTAACCGGTAAAAGGATACTTGACAGTTACTCTGCTCCAAAGTAATCATTAACACGATTTAGACTGCAAAAAGGTCAGAGAACATTAAGAGGGAAAGAATGCTGAAAACATTCCGAAAATCGTTACAAGACGGTACTCATCTTGTTACAACTTTATTGGCGAAGTGCTATCGGCTTTATTCTATCGTTTAAAGCTTTCAGTAAAAGATTGTCGAAATTTAATCAATCAAATTTGAAGTACTAAGAAGTTCGGTGTGAATTAGTCAAAATATTTACTCAAAAATCAAAATATCCGGCATTTACAAATTGCAAATATTCTGCACTGAAATTTTAAAGTCAACTAATTTTTGCTATGAAATCGATAAGTTAATATATTAGCAAATTTGTTAAATTTGGCCATTTTTAAGCATTTAACTTGCATTTTAATACATATTTATACTTTAAATGTAAATACGCTCATGTTATTTGGTAGGGTTTATATAAGCAATTAATTGAAAATTTAATTTCAAATCATTTAAATATCGCATCAATATGTTGTTGGTATCAGTGATTTTTATTCTTACAACAATTTGTGAATCGTTTAATGATACCCTTTTTGGTATGATTACATTTTGTTTTTCATTAATATTGTGACAGTTTGAAAAAGTTTTTAAGTGATTGAGATTGAATTTGATAATCCTGCTAAAAATTTTTTTTAATGAATTTTTTTACATAGTATAATATAAATGTACACGATTACTGGAAAATGGTATATTAACTTTATATTATTTTTAGCAAATACTCAATAACAAATATTATCTTTAGATTACCGATTAAAGATTAATCTATGAATTTTCAAATTATTCTTAATTAGTCAAAGCTTCATGCATAGGAGATTATAACATTGTAAAAAAGATTGCAATATTTGATAACCTTCGAAGAATTTATAAGAAATTTTTATAATTTTGCAATTCTAATTTCCTCTACATAAATTAGGAATGATTGCATTAATGTAATGCTCGAAAGACTTGAACAGAAGCTAATTATTACTTCATGAAATGGAGCAATCTGAATGAATGTGTATCAAGCAAAAATTAGAATTGAAAAATTAAAAAAGAAATTGAAATGAATAACAGTATCGCTTTACCGTAATTTTCATCTCAAAGCATTCTGAAATGAAGAAAATAATAAAACTGCAAAAAAAAATATGTAAAAAAATAATCATACAAAAAAATAATTACACCGCTTAGCATTTCAACGAAAGCATTGAGAATTGGATGGATTTTTACAGAAAAAAAAAATGATAGGAAAAAATTATTTTATTTGATTATATCTTTGATTCGATTCATTAGTCTCATCCCAGTCATATCTAATTAGCCTAGACTAGTCTGACCTTTAGCAAAGAGATTTAGACTTGAGTCATCATTTGTCCATCTCATTTATGCTACTTGATATCTTCAAAACACAATTAATAGCTACAGAATACAGTTGTAAAAATTTATATTGATCATATCATTTGCTATAACAATGATATTTGATTATAATTTATATAATCACATTCATATTTATAACTTTACATATCATGAGAAAAAAATGTATCACGGACGCATTATAGCATTAAAAATAAAAAGGAAGTATTGAAACAAAATTTTCATTACAGAACCACGACCTATATTTGTGAAAAACGTGGACATCTCGATGCCAGTTATGAAAATTGACGTGACAATGCATTACGTGCCGATGGGACGTCATATCATACTTAATTGTATGTCTTGGAATTCAGTTGCAAATAATTATGACAATCAAAATAAAACAATGAAATGGATATTTCGTGATATTCAAGATCATCGTAGCATACCTATCGATATCGATAATAGGTAACTCAATAGCATGAAACATATAAATAGCAATTGCATTAGAGAACAAAAAAAAAAAAAAATAATTCTAACAAATTTAACTTTACAACATTCTAAAACATTTACTCTTTCATATCTATTGAGACTAAATCTTGTCAAAATCATATTGCTTACTTCTTTTAAAAATAATTTTTTAAATCTCCTCAAAGCATAAATGCCATTTAAAATTTCATGTTTCATACTTTTAAATTCACATTTTAATTACTAGTTTCTCTTCATTGTCAAAGCCATTCTTTTGTATAATTTTCCACAATTTTATTTTAAATTTATTTTATATTTTAAGCCGATTCGCCCTCAACGAAACTGATGGCAGTCTTGCTCTTTATGCCGCACAAAAAGAAAATGAAGGCATATATGATTGTCATGTAGGTTTAACCCAAAATATTGAATGGGTTTCACGAATTAATCTTTGTAAGTATTATGAAATTTCAATCTAAAATAAGAATTTAATTTAATTAATTAAAGCAAACTTTAATTTAAAATTATTTAAAAATGCAATATTTATTTTAAAAGAAGATGTAATAGTTACTTATGAGTTGAAGATGTGCAAGATTGTGGTGAAGAACGTGATCTAACTTTATATCGTAATGTTATGAATCCATGCCTTTATGGTGGCTGTATTATTGATGCTTTTCCTGATGCTCCAATTTTGAAATATTTAAAATGTAATTGTGTGTTACAATATACGGGAGAATTTTGCACTGGTAATATTTCATTATGATATCGAATATCTCATTAATATTCTGATTTGTATTGATGATAGCAACAAAGTATTGTGAAATTTTTATCAAAAATAAGTAAAAAATAAATGAAAAAGCAGGTTGTGTATGTAAGGTTTAGTTTAAGCGTACTTATTATGAAAAATTTTATATACCTACCAAACGCAATACGTAAAAAAAATTTTAATTTGTTTAACGTAAAAAATAATTGGAAGAAAAATTATGCAGAAAAATCTCAACAGTAATTTATATATTCATCACAACATTGAAATGCTATCACTGAATATATCACTCATGTAAAATACATTTGATTACGTTATAAAATGAAATTTTCATCAAAATAAACTAAACTTTGAATGCTCTATTTTGTTAACAATACTTGATAAATTTATTCGTTTCGAGAAATTGATACCTATTTTATGACGTAATAAGTTCCATCATTTTGTTCAAAGTTAAATTTATATTGCAATTTTGATTGATTTAATTATTGACTAATTAATTCGTTATTCATGTTCATGATAAGCTTTTTTAATAGAACTTGTTGATGGAGCCGTTGAACGTGAAATTCTACGTTTCTCACCGTTCATAGCACATATTTGCTCAACATTATGCATAATTCTTACATTCTTTTGCTGCAAGAGAACGTTTGTGCATTTCAATATCTCTTTAATTATTTGATTTTTAATCAATAATCAACTACCTATTTTAAAAAATAATCAAATACCTATTTTTTTAACACCAATCTTTTGAAAATAAATATTTGATAACTATATTGATTTCCTGCTAATATTTGTATGCATTCCGAAAAAAAAAGGGAATTTGATAAATTTGAAATTGCATTTCTCTTTTTTTTTTTCAGCGAAAATCATAAAAGAATCGTTTCACTGGAAGATGTTGTACCACCACCATTAGATGTATCGGATGATCCGAAAATACTCTACCCCGCAGCTATGCTACCGGTTTTAGAAAGCGGTGAACCAACTAAGGAAGCAGAATTGGATGCTCGAACAATTGCCACATATCTTAATAAGTTGCAACATGCAACTGTATGAAATGACGAATTAGCCAGTTTTATTCGATCAATATTTCTTGCATTGTTTTGTTAATTAAATTTTACCTTTTCCACTTTTACCTGTTATGTTTGCAGCTTTTTTTTTCAAATAATCAATAACAATTATTCATAAAAATGATAAACTTAATTTACCATTGATTAATTTTTTTGGAAAGCATTAAATTATGTTAAGAATAGTTCAAATTTTGCATTAAATTTGATTTTTTAAGAAAAAGAAGCAAGAAATAACTTCTAAATCAAACGAAGTTTTTTTATTTCTTATGCTTAAAGTTTTAGAAGGCTTAAAGTTATAAAGCAAAACTGTTGATGATATCATAAATTATGGAATTTTATTGCAAAATTTATTGGAATAAGCGATTTATTGAAGATTTGATGAAGTTTTGCAATCTCAAATTAATGAAAAAATGACGTGAGCTAAAACGAATACATGTCTTTCTTAATTTACCTATCATTTTAAAATTCATTCTGAGTTTCACACAAAATTTAATCGCCTTTCTGTTTGCCAAAAAAAAAAAAAATCGTGTGTACCTTTGACACCAACTATATTTCTAATTTTATTTCACGCAAAATTTTTAAATTAAAGCGTTATTTTAGTGGTGCTAATTTCTGATAATTCATTTTACTCAGTAAAAGAAAAAAGTAATAATACCGATGCTAAAAAACTGAAACTTTTGTTGCTTTCGAACTAATAAATACTTATTTTCAACATAGTTGTTCATTATATATTTATTTGCTTTTTTCAAATCATATTTTCAGTGATTGCCATCTTATTAAATTTATGGAGTCTATTTAAATTCCTAATTTTTACTAAGTCATTACAACAAAAAAAAAATGTTTTTTCAATGTATTATAACAAAAAAATTTTTCAGATGTATTACCGTATGAAGTGATCATACTTTACGGTAATGCATCCACAATAATGCATCTACAATGGCTACAGTTCCTGTTATTACAGTAACGGAATTATTGTTACAGTAACGGAATTATTGTTAGGGTAATGAGATTAATGAAGGAATAGATATGACTGTCTGATGATTTACATTAATCACCACATTATTCAAATACTGATCGTTTACTTACAGAATTCGTACATTTGTTAACTCGCCCATCAATAATAAAACATAATAATGGAATATCATGTAAACAGAAAGGAAACGAAATGCAATGTAAATTGAATATATTATAATCCTACTATGATATAAATAAGATTAAAAAAATGAAGAAAAAATGTTTGAAGAGAATAGAATGTAGTTAATTAACATGAATTTGAAAAACCATTTCAAATCCTGAAAGCATCGAAAAATAATAGTCGTAAAAGATTTTCATGATAAGACTTCTCAATTTTTTTAACTACATTTTTGCTTGAATTTCAAAAAGAAAAATAATAGAAAAAATGTGATCAGGATTACAGTGGAAATTTTTGTGCAGTTGAAAAAAATTTTTTCATTTTTAAAAGTTTGCAATGAACTTTGTAAATTCGTGAAAAATAAGGATAAAAATAATAGAATTTGTGATGATTTATATTTGAAATACTTGTGAATAAATATTTCAAGGAAATAATTTCTTTCAATCAAAATTTCATAAAGCGATAAAGAAGGTGTTGAAGAATTTTATTGCTAAATCTGCATACAATTTATTTTTAATAAAGTGCATTTTCTTTCAATCATTAAGGGAAAAAAATCTTTTTTTCCAAAAATATAGCAGATTTTGTCAATTAACACGAAGTTTAAAGCATATCAGCTATTCCATTTTTTTTTTGTTCTACTTATTTACTTAAATAAGTTTCATAAAAAATAGGAATTTGCAAAAAACATCAATGACATTGTCCTGAATGATTTGTATAAATTTTCATAAAAATTATTTTTTATTTACAGCTATCACTTTCAATTCATTTGCTTATTATTTTGCATTTTAAAGCGATTGACACATGCAAATATACATTACGAACAAACGATGCGAAATTTCTCTGAATGTGACATATTTAAATATACTTTTACCGTCACCACTTTTAACATTAAGATAAATTAACTTCCAATTCACATCATTCATATTATTTTTATATCAAAGATATAAAAGATAGTATTTGAAATTATCTTTGGTTTCTATAAATAATTTATTGAACCTTTGAACTTAATTACAAATCATAAAAAAAAATTAAATTGATTTTGGATTTTAATAATTTTCGAACTATTTAGTTCTTAAAACATTTGTATACATCCCATGATTAGTCCAAATATAAATGAGCGAAACTTGATTTTAAGTAAGAAACTGTATCATGTATGCTAATGCAAGTAATCGTAATCACTTTGTTAATTAATAATCGACAATTAATTCAAGTTACACCTAATGCTTAGGAAGGTATAGCCTTTTTTTTCTTTTTCTCACCCTCTTTTTCCCTCTTCAGTATAAGGATTAGTGAATATATCGTATAAAATCGAATACAATAAGTTAAAATGCAAAAAAAAAAAATGATAATCATCATTGTTTTAATAAAAATTTACCAACTATAACTTTACATTAAACAACAAATTAAATTATGCCCACAATATATCAAAATAAACAAAAATGAATTAACGCATTAAATAAAAATTGGATCAAAAGTCATATAATTTGATAAATTTGAACTCGAAGAGATAGAGGAATATAAATTATTATAGTTTTTTGTCAATTCATATGCTTGCATTGAAGTAGAAATTTTATTTCATTCATTTTCAACAGTCATTTCCTCATAATTTACATCATTAAAGTATCAAATAATAATGATAATAACACCTTCATTGATTGATTTATTACTCTTAAAATTACTGGAAGCAAATAAATTTCATTATTTTATCACAAAACAAATTCCTAACATTCCATCAAGTGCAAAATTCATTGATAGCTTATGCTGTATAGAAATTTCAAGACTCATACTTAATCAGTCTCCTCTGAAATGCTCTTTCCTTTTTCATTGCTTTCGTAATTTTTTTCATTTCGAATTTTAATTTAATGTATTCAATATCTTTTAATTTAACGGTCATTGCCTTAAGTTCATTTCATTCCATTTCATTTCAGTCAACCACCAATATTTAAATCAATTTTAAAAAGTTGCTTATTTGCCTCTTTGTATTTCTCTGAAATTGAGAGAAAAAAGTAATTTATGCAAATTGCAATTTATTGAAATTGCCTGTTTTTTTTAAAATTCATCAAATTGTCTAGTAGTAGATATTTTTCATGCTGTAAATTAATGTAATTCATACTTTACTCATATTATACATGCTACAGTATGACAATATTACAGTGTGATTCGTGTAAATTATGTAGTAATCTATTCAAATGGTACCTGTAAATAATACAAATTGCATAATTAATTCATTTGATTTCCACTTTCTTTTCAAAAATGTTGTAATATTCGAAAACTTAAGTTTCAACATTTATTACAGGTTAAGTTTTTTTTCACTTTCAACGAAAAAAAGAAAACGAAAGATAGTTAAAAGCATTTTATTTTTAATTACCTGTTTCCTTATTTTAGCTTTAATTCTCTTTTTCAATTAATACATTGCGTTAAATTTAGAAATTTTTAATGCAATGTGTTATTTGATAAAAAATTGATAAAAAAAATAAAATATCTGTTATAAAAAGCAAAAATTATGAATGAATTAACTGTACAATAAATTAATCAAATTCTCGTAAGCAAAATAATTGTTAAAAAATTATAAATTTGTGTAAGTTAATGCTTGAAATAAATTTTATTAGAAATTATTCGCATTTCACTCTCAAATAAGTTTTTTTACTTATATTATCTTCGACAAATAGTTGATAACCAATTAATTAGTATCACCATATGCAATTTCGCCTTGAATTGTATTAAATTAGTAAATCAATGGAAAAAAATTTTATTTCTTTTAGTAATTTCAAAATGGAACGTTTATTTTTTTTTGTTAGCAGAATTTTTACTAATAAGATTTTGTGTTTTGTACAAAATAGTATTATGTATGATTGAGTATGTTTGAAAAACATGAAGATTTAAAGTTCTTAATTTGCTTTTGCTTTTACAAATCCACAAAATATGCTGATAACTCGTGGCTTTTGTGATAACTTTTGTGATATGCTAAATTAGGAATGTGTTTGCTACAACGAAATTGAAGTGCTCTTGAAAAAAAAAATATGCAGACCTGAAAAAAATTAATTAAAATTTAAACCTATTAGTGTATGTTCGTTCATCCTTTTTTTGTCTATTTAAGAAAAATGATTTACGGAAAATGTTACAGTTTCAATTTGCTTTATATTATTTCTTTTTTTAATTGAAAATCTTAAAAATGAATTTACATTATCAATTTTATACAGCATTCAATCTTCATTTTTTTTGATTTTCTTATTAATATAGCAGATAAAGTGATTTGTTTTCGTTGTCCGTTTTTTTGTCTTGGAAATATTTCATTAACTAAATTGAATTGTAAAAATTTTATTCAAAAATTTTGAAGCAAATCAATGAGATATTGACGGAGATTGTTACAATTTTCAACGGCTGTCGCATAAATTGTTAAAGTTACTACTAAATATGCAAGTTTTTATTTTTGAATTTTAAAACTTTCAAATTTAGTGCTGATTTTTTTATTTAGTAGTTAGTAGTGCTCTTTAACAATTAATCAATCAGTAATAACTCGCTATATTTTGTAACGAGATAAATATTTTAAATTTAATGACATGGGATATACTTGCAATTGTCGCTAGAATATGTATTAGTAAGTGATAAGTAGGTGATAAAATTAGTAGACGATAAATTAGTAGATGATAATAGTAGGTGATAATTATGCATTAATAGGTGATAAAATTAGTAGATGATAAATTAGCAGGTGATAATAGTCGGTGATAAAAAAATAGGCGATATATTTTCAAATAAACTGCTTTCAATTTTTTGTATTTTCCAATCACTCAAATAATGATATTCTTTTAAAAAAGGTATTTTCTAGCATATGGGCTAACGAAAAGCTATAGTAA